GCGCTTCATGGGCATTTGAGATCTCACCTGCCCTGTCGGCCTCTGCACATGTCTGCTGATCGAAGCCAATCTGGTGGCTTCTCCCACCCCGACATGCAAGGCGGCATCATCAACCATGCCATTCGTCAGCGACCTGCTCGGTACGCTAGCATACTTGCATACTTTTGCTAGATATAAGGGCCGATCTAGGCCAAGATGGCCGCACCAAACTCTTCGCGGGCGAGTCGAATATTACACATACCTCAAACACAATCTCAAGCAGGAGTAGCATTGATAATGGTATAGCAATTTGCACGGGCGACCCTCCTAGAGTACTAGTCGCACACCTCAAGGATAGCTAGCTGTGCGTTGGTGAGCATGTTCGGCAGCAGCCTGGATGATCTTGCTGGTGATGATTTGGAAGATGGGGAAGGTAGCGCTGTCCCTGTATCGCTGTATCATGGTCCTGCTCAATGCCGTGCCTGCCGGTGTCGAACTTTCGGCTGCTATTGCGGGAGGAGCGACGTTGGACAGAGGAGCGAGGGGCCGAGTGATCGAGCTGGTAGACTCGGCTTGCGCTTGCGCATCCTCTTTGCTCAGCTGCAAATTCTCGACTTCCTTTGCTATGCTGCTTCCGCTGCTGCGATCGTTAGAAGTTGGCGCCATGGGGCCCATCTTGGCCTCGTGCATAGTCTTTGTCGCTTCTTCTTTGGCATCGTCCAGAACTCTGACTAGGCCCGGATCGATGGGTATCCTACCCAAGAACCTTAATCCCTCCCGGCCCGCAAGTGCTTCTCCACCGCCCTTTCCCCAAACGTTGGTGCACTCTGTACAGTGCGGACAGACGTAGCCGCTCATGTTTTCTACCAGACCTAGCAGTGGGAGATTCACCTTCTTCGTAAAGTCTAGCGAGCGTAGGTTGTCGGCAAGAGACAGGGCTTGTGGCGTTGTCACCATGATGGCGGAAGGGTTGAAGTGGTGCAGATACTCTAGAAGTGATATGTGCTCGTCCGATGTGCCTGGGACGGCGAGTCAATACAAGTGTCAGAAGTGGTGCGGCGCTTTGAAAGTATCGAGCAAGTCCTTGGCAACGTCTGACTCACCGGGCGGAGTGTCGAGGATGAGGTAGTCCAAGTGACCCCACCGCACGTCTCCTAGAAACTGTTTGATCATAGCGTTCTTCTTTGGTCCTCGCCACACCACGCTGTCGTTTTTGCTTCTCAACAAGAATCCGACACTCATCACAGCCAAATTCTGTTCCCTGTCCGCATACACGGGCACCCAGCCATCTGAAGATTGCCTGACCGCTTGTCCGTCTAATCCAAGCATACGGGGTATGGAAGGTCCGGTCAGGTCCACATCCAGCACCCCCACCTTGTTCCGAAGACCCGTGGTGGGATCCGATTGGGAGGCAAGCGATAGCGCCAGCTGTGAAGTGACGGATGACTTGCCCACGCCGCCTTTGCCAGACAACACGATGATGAGGTTCTTGACGTTTTGAAGCCGCCGAGCTATCTTCGGATCCGGAGCCGG